TGTGCCAAGGTGCCAGGGCTCCATGTCCCTGGGAACTGCAGCTCCATGTGCCAAGGTGCCAGGGCTCCATGTCCCTGGGAATTGCAGCTCCATGTCCCTGGGAACTGCAGCTCCATGTGCCAGGGTTATCAGAGTTCCATGCACTCAGGGATTTGGGCTCTGTGCGTGAAGTGCCAGGGCTCCACACACCGAGGGTATCAGTGCCTCATGTCCTGGGGTACCACACCTCCATGGGGGGCTGGGGGCACTGGGATAGCTCCAGGTCTGGAGTATCAGAGCTCCGTACACCGGGAATTTGGGACTCTGTGCACGGGGACACCAGAGCTCCATGCTCCAGCATACCAGAGCTCTGAATATGGGGGGCTGGGGCTTCAATGCCCTGGGGTACCGGAGCTCCAAATACCAGAGGGGCTGGAACTGGGGTACCAGAGCCCCAGATACCGGGAGACTGGGGCTTCAATGCTCCAGGGTACCGGGGCTCCAAATACCGGGGAGACTGGGGCTCCAATGCCCTGGGGTACCGGAGCTCCAAATACCGGGGGAACTGGGGCTCAATGCTCTGGGATAATGGAGCTCCACATCCCGGGGTACCGGAGCTCCAAATACCGGGGAGACTGGGGCTCAATGCTCTGGGATAATGGAGCTCCACATCCCGGGGTACAGGAGTTCCAAATACCGGGGGGACGGATGCTCAATGCTCCGGGCTACAGGAGCTCCAAACACCGGGGGGACGGATGCTCAATGCTCCGGGATAATGGAGCTCCACATCCCGGGGTACCGGAGCTCCAAATACCGGGGGGACGGATGCTCAATGCTCCGGGGTACCAGAGCTCCACATGCCGGGGGGACGGATGCTCAATGCTCCGGGGTACCGGAGCTCCACATGCCGGGGCGACTGGGGCTCAATGCTCTGGGATAATGGAGCTCCACATCCCGGGGTACCGGAGCTCCAAACACCGAGGGGACGGACGCCCCACGCCCCGAGGCGCCTCACCCGCGCGTCCCTCGGGCACCGCCGCCCGGTGCCGCCCGGTGCCCGCTGCGGTGCCCGCCCGGTGCCCGCCCGGTGCCGGTGCCCTCCCGGTGCCCTCCCGGTGCCGCCCGGTGCCGCCCCGGCGGGCGGAGCCGCGGCGCCCCGCCCGGTGCCGGTGCCGGAGCTGCGGCGGCTGCGCACGGCGGGGCGGCCATGAGCGACCGGCGGCTGCGGGCGCTGCGGGACCGCGTCCGCTCCTTCCCGGACTTCCCGCAGCCCGGCGTGCTGTTCCGGTGCGGGAGCGGGGAGGGAACCGGCGCCCAGTGGAGCCAGCGCTGGGGTGGAAGCGGGGATGGGGATGGGAGCAGGGCTGGAGCCGGGCCGGGGAAGCGCTGCCGGCTCCGGGCCCCGCTGCCCATCCCTGGCCCCGGCAGCAGCAGGCAGGAGCCTCCCCTGGGCTCCGGAACCGCCCCTGGGGTCAGAAACCTCCCCTGGGGTCAGGAGCCTCCCCCGGGTTCTGAAGCCTCCCCCGGCTTCGGGAGCTCCCCCGGGTTTGGGAACCTCTCACGGGTTTGGGAACCTTCCCCGGGTTTGGGAACCTTCCCCGGGTTTGGGAACCTTCCCCGGGTTTGGGAGCCTTCCCCGGGTTTGGGAACCTTCCCCAGGTTTGGGAACCTTCCCTGGATTCAGGAGCTTCCCCCAGTTCGGGAGCCTTCCCCAGGTTCCGGAGCCTCCCCCGGGCTCTGGAACCTCCCCTGGCTTCGGGCTCTCCCCGTTTCCAGGGCAGCCCCGCAGGTTTCCCTCACCCGCTGCCCTCCCTCGTTGCAGCGATATCAGCCCCTTGCTGAAGGATCCTGTGGCCTTCAGGACCTTGATTGATCTTCTGGAGGATCATGTGAGGGCGTCTTTCCCTAAAATCGACTTCATCGTGGGTGAGTGTTGCTTGGACATCCCTGAGGCCAGGGCAGAGCAGCGTGTCCGGGGTGGGAAGTTTGGGGTGGCCCTTGGACACAAAAATCACCTGAATATTGGCCTCTGGCATGTGGTGACACCAGGACAGTTTCTGCCCTTCACCTCCACCCGTGAGTTCTGAAATGCTGCCGTGGGATGTGGCACTTCCACAATTCACTGCCAGAAAGGAGGGGGCACCCAAAGCTGCTGTGCCCGCAGTGTGCCCCCGCTGTGCCCAGGGCAGGCAGGCCCTGGCCCAGCTGCTTTTCCCCAGGGAGCCTTCCCAGGCCAGCACAAGCCACCTTGGTGGCCAGACCAGCTCAGCTCGCCCGGCAGAGCGCTGAGGAGGGCACTGCTTGGGCTGGCCCACAGCCAGGGGGCACAGAGCAAACCTGGCCCAGGTGTGCTAAGTGGAGTCTGCCCCAGGTGCAGAGCTCCTGCTGGTGTGGCAGGGCTGATAGCAGGGCCCTGCTGCCTTTATCTCCAAGGAGAAGGGTCAGAGCAGAGGGAAACGGGCTCCTGGGGCCAGAACAGGAGTGTGGGCTGGGTTTTCTACCTTCAGGTGTGACTTGAGGAGCAAATTGCTTTTAGAATGGGAGGATAAAACCGAGGGGCTGTGCCAAGACCTTCCCCCAGTGAAATTATTCTGAGTGATGGGACAAGAGGAAAAGGCCTCAAGTTGCACCTGGGGGGCTTTAGGTTGGATATGAGGGAAAATTAATTCAGTGAGAGGGTGATCAGGTATCAGAATGGGCTGCCCAGGGAGTCACTTATCCAAAAAATACGTGGATGTGGCACTTGGGGACGTGGCTCAGTGCTGCAGATGGTTGGACTTGGTGGTGTTGGAGGCCTTTTCCAGGGTGAGTGATTCTCTGTTCCTGCTGTGCCCCCAGGCCTGGACTCCCGCGGGTTCCTGATCGGGACCCCGCTGGCGCAGAGGTTGGGGATCGGCTTCGTGCCCGTGCGGAAAAAGGGGAAACTGCCCGGTGCCACCGAGTCCATCTCCTACAGCCTGGAGTACGGCAGGGTGAGCCCTGGGGGGCCAGGGGGGCTGAAACCCTGGGGAGGGGTCCCAGCTGGTTCTGCTGCCGTGGGTAATCTGGCACAAGCCCGGCAGGGCCGCCCACGCTCGCGCCGTTCGTGCCCGCGGGTGACGCTTGCTGCTGCGCCGCCGCTCTCCTCGGGGGCTGGCGCTCAGACTCGCTGCTCGGTGGCTTTCTTTGCCTTGAATTCAGGGCCATGGCCACGGAGAGTGTCCCCCAGCATGGCAGGCAGTGCTGGAAGTCAGAGCTGCCCCGCGTAGCTCTCCCCATCCTGCCCCGTGACCCCGCAGCTGCTGCGAGCCTCGCTCCGCGCTGCTCCCGCTGGGACGAACAGCAGCAGAGCCCCCAGAGCCACGCCGGAGCCACGAGGATTGTTTGGGCCGGCCGAGCTGGGGTGACACATGCAGACAGGTGCCAGTTTGGATCTGGCTCTGGGCAGAGCTCCCCGGCGGGTGACGGGAGATTTTCCTCGCTCTGAGGATCGCAGCGAGATTTTCCTCGCTGGAGAAGTGCTCTGGGATAAGATTCCACCATAACTCACACGATGAGAGTTCAGGATTTTTGGCGTGCCGCAGGCTTGGCCCAGCAGTCCCCTCCCTGCTCTGTGCTTCTGTGGCGTTCCCCTGTAGCTGGAATTCGTGGGGTTTGGGGATTTTAGGTGCTGAGTTTAGGCTGATGTCGCCGAGGATTTGTCTGTGTTCCAGCACGAACCAGCAGCTCCACGAGGGGTTTCTCTCCAAGGCCAGACCAAAACAAAGCTGCTCTTTGCTCCCTGCAGGCTGAGCTGGAAATCCAGAGCGATGCTGTGGAAGCAGGACAGAAAGTGGTGATCGTGGATGACCTGCTGGCAACCGGAGGTGAGGGAAGCACGTGTGACACCTTGTGTGCATGGAATGGCTGCCTTGGCTAAATCCCACCCAGCCCCACCCCTGCCATGGGCAGGGACACCTCCTGCCAGCCCAGGTTGCCCCAAGCCCTGTCCAGCCTGGCTTTGGACACTGCCAGGGTAGCCACAGCTCTGGTGTCCCCAGGCTGGCAGCAGCAGGGGTGGCTGTGGGCTGGAGCTGCCCCAGGAGTGAGGATGTTTCTCCCCCCTCAGGTACCATGCGTGCTGCCTGCGAGCTGCTGAAGAGGCTGAAGGCTGAAGTCCTGGAGTGCCTGGTGATCATAGAGCTGACAGCCCTGAAAGGGTCGGAAAAGCTCAATTCCATCCCTTTCTACTCCCTGCTGCAGTATGAGTGAGGAGGAGCAGGGAGAGGGAGCACTGGGAACAAATCTGGGGCTTTCTGTAGTGATTCTGGGTGTCACAGGGGGGTGGGGAAGGGGGTTAAACACAGCATGGCCAGATGCTCTTCAATCCTAAATTTCCCAGGCACTGTGTTGAGTGTAATGATCCCTTTTTGGAGTTCATCCTTTTAGCAAGCTGATTGACTGGGTGGGGGATGGAGACCAAGATGCAGTTCACTGAATCTGTGGTTTTTAGGAGACCAAAGTGATGACATTGCTGCTGAGGCAGGAGAGCTCTGACAGGGCACCAGCATTCCCTGGGCTGGGCCTGTCAGCCTGCAAGGAACCTGCTAAAAAATTCCCAAAGAAGCACAGGAGATGGGCAAAAAGCAATTCTTTCTGTAAGGGACAAATCCTGCTGAATTTGACCTCAGGATGGGCTGGCTGCCCCGGACTGTCACTCACACCAGAATAAGTTGCTCTTACACCAGGGCTGTGCTCGTTCAGGTGAATGAAATGTCTGCTGTGTCCTTAGATCAGGGTGGTGCTGCTGTGGGGTGAGCCCAGGCAGTGTTCTCCTTCCCTGGAGAGCACAGGAATTCCCCATCTCCTTTCCCACATCCCACTCTGTGCTGCTGCCTCCCCTCTGCTGGGCTGTTTGGGGCCATCAGGCTGCTGCCAGCTCAGAGCTGGTGCCAGCTGAGGCCACGGGAGAGGTGTTGCAGTGGTCTCAGGTGTGTGAGGGGGGTTTGGAGATGCTTCTTCCAGCACGGTTCAGTTTGGTCACAGCTAAATCCCCACGTGCCAAACTTCCACAAGCCTAAAAACATCAGGGACTGTGTCCCTGGCCCAGCAGGGACTGGACTCACAGGTAAAATAAATATTGATGTATTTTTATATTTCCTAAGCTGTCTCAGAGCTGTTCTTGCTGTGGCTGAAGCTGTGAATGACCCTTGGGAGTGTCTCCCTGCAGCCCCAGGTGGTCGGTGGGGCAAGGCTGTGGTGTGAGCTCTCCCTCATCCCCCAAATGCTTGGAGTTGTTTTCCAGGGAGCATTCGGGTACCTTTTCTTTACTTTGCACCAACCTCTGGCTGGAGAGGCTCGCTCAGCTCAGCTCCCCTTCCCCACCCAGCCCTTCCACTTGGGAAGAGCATTCCAGCTGATTCCCACCCCCATTTCCTGAAAAACCCCTTCAGTGCTGCTCAGTTCACACTGAGGAGCACAATTCCCTGGGGAATGACCCCCAGGGCCCCTGGGGAGCCAGGGCAGCAGCACCTCCCAGCCCTGGCACCAGGAGAGGGTCCCTGCTGCGGGGGAGAGGGGAAACATCAATTCCACCCCAAGGAGCCGTGGAAAGCAGCTGCGAGCTGGGAAGTGGCGCCAGCCCTGCCCGTGCCAGCAGGTGACATCAGTGCCAGCAGGTGACATCAGGGAACGTGGGGACGGTGCCTTGGCCCTGCCTGGGCTGCCAGCAGCCCCTGATGTCATTGCCTTGGAGAAACCAGGCTGGGCAGGAGCAGCTTCCAGGTGGGAGAAGGGTTTTGTCCCAAGGAGCAGAACGGGAGCTCCATGGGATGTGAGCGTGGCTGCCAGGCTGCTGCTTCCAGCTCCTCTCCAGTCCTGCTCCTTCCCCGAGCATGGCTGAGAGCCCAGCCTGCTCCAACAGCCCCCAGCCTCACCCAGCAGCCCCCCAGCCTCACACCCAGCCCTGGGTTGGGTTTAATCCCTTCTCCCTGGAAACAGGGCACGCTCCTGCCAGCAGGGCTGGGCAAGCACGGGCCTGGAGGAGGAGGAAGAGGAGGAAGGCCTCTTGCTCCCACAGGAAATGCTGTGGGATCTCAGATGCTGCCAAGACTCCAGCCCAGCACTTTTAAGGTGGGGAGTCTGCCCAGGAGCAGCAGGGGATGAAAGGATGGAGGCCCTGTTCCCAGCAGGTCCCTGGGGAACTCCAGCCAGGCTCAGGAGCAGTGTGAGGTGTGTGTGACACAGGCAGCTCCCACCCCTGCCCTGCCCAGCACCTCTGCAGCCATCCTCACCCTCTTTGTCCCTCTTCCCAAGCCACTTCAGCTCGAGTGGCTTTGGGATTTCCCCTGGGAGAAAAAACCCTGTCAGCCCTGCCTGCCCCAGCCCCATCTACAAAAGCTGCATTCAGCTCCTGCAAGCCCACGCTCACTTTTTCCAGTGAGTCTTTCTCCAGGAGCTGGATGAGGACCCAGCCCTTCCCGGCGCCAATTGCCATGGAGAACCACGAGACAGCAGCGAGGACGAGCGCTGGGTTAACACAAGTCAACTATATTTAAAACATTTAATACAAATGTGTTTTGACAAGTCCTGTAGTTGTTTCCAGCGAGGACTGCAAGATGCTTTTTCCCTCCCTTAAAAACAGAACGAGGCCCGAAGCTCCAGAAACATCCATTTGTGACTTTTTCTCTCACTCTTTCCTGCCCGTCACCCTCTCTGCCTTCACCCCACCAGGACCCAGTTAATGGAAGAAACCTCTGAAATTGGACCTTCAGGAGACCCCTCATGCATTGAACCTTCAGGAGAACCAGGAGAGGGAGAGGAAAAGGTTCCTCAGGTTAGGGTAGAACCAGGAGAGGGAGAGGAAAAGGTTCCTCAGGTTAGGGTAGAACCAGGAGAGGGAGAGGAAAAGGTTCCTCAGGTCAGGGTCGCTTTCATCATCACCCCCAGGACACAGGACTGCTCAAGGACACGGGGACCTACAACCCTCACAGCTCCCACCACAGGAATTAGTTAAATTAGTTAAATGAAGGCACTTTGCCCTTTCTCAGCCATCCGAGGACGAGCCTCCCTCCAGCCCACCCCGAACCCAGAGCGCTGTCGGGATTTGCTACATTTTGAGGAGATTGCACAGAAAAAAACCCAACCCCGGAGGGGCTCAGAGGGCTCCAGCCTCCTTGGCTGCCTTGTGGAGCCTCTCGGTGACGAGGCCCAGGTCCTTCTCCTTGTCCAGCTTGACGTAGGTGTCCGTCCTGAGGGCGTGGATGCCCACCCAGTCGGGCAGCAGCTCCGCAAAGAGCCGAACGTGTTTCTCCATCTCACCTGTGGGTGGGAGCACCGGGGTCAGAGCTCGGGGACACCAAGGATTGGAGCTCGAGAGAACCCCTGGGATCAGAGCTCAGAGACAGCAGGGTCTGGAGCTCAGGAACACCAAGGATTGGAGCTCGGGAGCACCAGGAGCAGAGCTTGGGAACACCAAGGATCGGAGCTCAGGAACACCAAGGATCGGAGCTCAGGAACACTGGGGTCTGGAGCTCGGAACACACCAGGATCAGAGTTCAGGAGCACTGCGAAGTCAGAGCTTGGAAGAACCCCTGGGATCAGAGCTTGGGAACACCCTGGGATCAGAGCTCAGGAGCACCAGGATCAGAGCTCGGGAGCACCCCAGGATCAGAGCTCAGGAATACCGGGGTTGGAGCTCAGGAGCACACTGGGATCAGAGCTCAGGAATACTGGGGTTGGAGCTCAGGAGCACACTGGGATCGGAGCTCAGAAACACACTGGGATCAGAGCTCAGGAACACACCGGGATTGGAGCTCGGGAATACCGGGATCAGAGCTTGGGAATACCGGGATCAGCCCTCAGCCCCCTCCTCCCTCAGAGACTCCCCTCCCAACCCCACAACCCCTACCGGGCGCCACCAGCTCGGGGCAGCTGTCGGCCAGGCGGGCGCAGAGCAGCTCCATGGCGAGCGCCGGCTTCTTCTCGGCCACGAAGACGCTGCGCAGGACGCGCGCCATGGCCGGCAGCCGCGCCAGCCGCGCCGCCCGCCGCTCCTGCCGCGCGTCCCGCGTCAGCAGCGCCGCCAGCCGCGCCGCCTCCTTGGCCCGCACCTGCGAACACCGCCGCGCGTCCCTGAGGGGCCGGGCCGGGCACGGGCACTGCCCCCGGCCCCTGGCACAGGACGGGGAGACTCACCCGCTCCAGCAGCCCCTGGGACACCCCTCTGAGCGCGCCCGAGGTGCTGGCGGGGGCCGGGGATTTGGGAAGCGCCGGCTCCCCCGCGCTGGCTTCGGCCGTTCTGAGCGCCAGGTTGGCAAGAGCTTTTTCCATCTGCTCATGTGGAAGAGGGAGGAGGAGTTGGGTTGCAGTTCAAGCTGGAGGAAAGAGAAGTTTCCCCTCTTCTGCCGCCCCCGCCGTCACCCGGCAGCCCAAGTGATCCTGATCCATCCTGCCTGCACAGGGGAGTTTGGGGTGCTTGGTGGAATTGTGGAATGCTCTGAGCGGGAAGGGACCTGGAAGCTCTTCTCATTTGCAGCCCCCTGCCCTGGGCAGGGACACCTTCCACTATGCCGGATTGCTCCAAGTCCCATCCAACCAGCCCTTGGACCCTTCCAAGGATGGCACAGCCACAGCTTCTCTGGGCACCTGTGGCAGGAATTCCTTCCCACTATCCCACCTACCCCTGCCCTCGGGCAGTGGGAAGCCACCCACACCTTCCCAGAGGTGGCACAGACGGAGCCAGCCCCTGGCCCTGCCTCACCTTGGGGCTCAGCATGCCCCGGGCTGCGCTCAGCACCTCCTGCGCCGTGCTCAGCCTGTCCTCGCGCGGCGGCCGCGGCAGCTCCGCGGGGCTGATGTCCGGCACCTCGTCCACGTTGAAGCGGGGATGCCACCGGGTCAGCTTCTCCTCTGGCACCACCATGGGAGGGCTGAGGGCAGCCAGGAACGCCTGGAGAGGGGCGAGAGCTGTGTCACGGCACCAGGACACCGGAGCAGCCGCTGCCCCGCGCTCCCAGCACGGCTTGGTGACACAGGGAGCGAATTCAGAGGCCACTTCCAGGAGGAACCTCCGTGTCCCTCAGCCTGGGTGGCACCAGTGACAACCCCAGCGTAGGGGGTGCCAGGTGCCCCTCACCTTGTGGTGCTCCCTGACGATGTTCACCAGGTTGCGGTGGAATTCCCTCCGGCGCTCCAGCAGCCGCGACGCCGACAGGTGCGGGCGCCCATCCACCTTCTCCTCTGCCAGGAGGGACACGGGTGTCACCCACACAAACCATGGCAGCCTCGGGAAGGATGGGATCAGAGCCCTGCCACGGAGCCGAGTCGCTGCCTGGACACTGTCCCTCCTGTCCCGAATTGTTTCCCACTTCCAACACGTTCAGAAGCTCCATTTAATGGAGCAAGCAGAGAGCATCCCTATAGATCCAGGGATCAGCCAGCACTGAGCGTACTCCAGCTCCCAGGCACCCCAAAACCATCCATACCTTCCCCCAGGACTGGCTCCAGTGTGAGCTGATACTCAGACTTCTTTCCACCGCTGCTGAGGGTGGGGACGTTCTTCTCCTGGCGCAGCCGGTACGAGCTGGGGTACACAGCCTTGATCTGCCCCAAGTGCTGCTCCTCAAACTGCCTGCGACAGCACCACAGAGGTTGGGGACCCCCAGAGCTTCAGCTGGGACCCCAAACCGGGCTGCTGGGACCCCAAACCGGGCCAACTCACCTGCGCATCATGTCCTGCACGCCCTGCTTGACCTTGGCGAAGGTGACGGTCTCGGCGCGGTTGAAGAGCATCCCGGCGATGGTGTCCACGCTGCGGAACATCTCCGCCAGCACCCTGAACTTGTAGGGCAGCGTCAGCCCCGGGGGCAGGTCCTGGGCCAGGGTGTGGAAGCGCTGGTAGGCCGGGGGCTGCTGGCTGCAGGGAAGGACAGGACAGGCTCAGGGTGCTGACACAGTGCCCAGCTGCCACCCCCAACCCCTTCTCTGAGGAGGTATGGAGGTCACGTCACCTTGGGACATGGGTGTCACAGCGCTCAGAGCCCCCACACCCTCACAAAACCACTTCAGGGCCGTGGCAGCCCCCTCAAATCCCTCCTGCAGCTGCTCCTCACCCGGTGTGGCCCTCGGGAGCTGCCGCCCCGGTGTCCCCGGCGGCCGCTCTCCTCTGCCGGGCGCGCAGCTCCAGCTGCCGCACGCGCTCCAGGCGGCTCCGCAGGTCCCCGCCGGTCCCGCTGGGGACAGAGGGGACCCGGCCCAGCGTCCTCATCCTCTGCAGGCGGCCCTGCAGCTCGGCCACGTCCTCCTGGGCAGGGAGGGGACACGGGGTCAGAGCGGGACGCGCGGCACCGAAGCCACCCGCGCCGGGGTCAGCCCGTACCCGCTGCAGGCGCCGCGCCGGGCTGGGCTCTGGCCCCGCGTCCTGCCCACGGCCCGCGGGGGACACGGCCAGCTCCTGGGCCAGGGGTGCCGGGGGTCCAGGAGCGGCCAGAGGCGAGGAGCTGGTGGCCTGCAAGAGAGAGGAGAGTCAGGGATTGTCCGGCGAACCCACCCGCCCCAACCCCTTCCCCTGTACCCCCCAAAATCTTGCGCTGGGAGGGGGGAGCCACAGGGGGGTCTGCAATAGGGGCAGGGGGGATGAAGGGGGTGAGTTTTGGGGGCCGTGCACTTGGGGCAGGGTTACGTCCCGGTGAGGGGAGGACTGTGAATGAGAAGGGGAGGCAAGTTCGGGGGTCCCGCACGGGAAAAAGGGGCCCAACACTGGCGGGACGGTTGTTTTATGGTTCCACACGCCCTCACCCTCCCCCATCCCATTTCAGGGCCGCATCCCAGAGGAAGCGAGCGGAGCATCCCCGACCCCACCACCTCCCTACCGCTCCCGGAGACCCCGGCTCCGCGTCCCGGGGCAGCTCCAGCCTCTTCCGCGCCGACTTCCCGCTCGGTTCCCCGAGCCGGGCCCCGACCGGCGACTCCGCTTCCATGTCCCGGCGGCTCCGCTTCCTGCCCGCCATGCCCCGCAGGGCCGGGCGGCCCCCGCGGGCCGGGGTGCGCGGCGAACCGGGCAGCGGCAGCGAGCGGGCGCTGAGCCCCGCCGGGACACCATCCTCCTCCTCCTCCCGGTGCACCGGGGCACCGGCGAGGGCGGCCTTGAGCAGGCGGCCGCCGCTGCGCTTGGCCGGGGCTCCGGTGGTCGCTTTTGTCTGGCTGAAGAAGTCGGTGAGGCGGAGCTGGGCCATGGCTGCGGTCCCGATCCTGATCCCGGTCCGGATCCCGGTCCTGGTCACGGTCCCGGTCCCGATCTGATCCCGGTCCGGATCCCGGTCCCGGTCCCGATCTCGATCCCGGTTTGGGTCCCGGTTTGGATCCCGGTTCCGGTCCCGATCGCGGTCCCGGTCCAGACCACGTGAGGCCGGTCCCGCGCGCTTCTCTCTTGGCGGGAGCCCGCGCGCCGAGGCCCCGCCCACCGGGGGCGGGCAGCGGTCACGTGAGACGGGTTTGGCGCCACTCGGCTCTTAAAGGGGCCGCGCCCCCGGAACGGGGCTGCACGTGGGGGACCCGGGGGGGGGGTTCCGGGGGGCTCCGGCCTTGCTGGGATGGAGGTTGCCCGCTCCGCCTGGACTAGTGGGGCAAAAGCCGGGAGTTTCCATCCGGAATGGTGCTGGGTGTCCCCCACACGTGGGGCCGAGCCCGGGCTGGCTTCCAGCCCCATGGATTCCCTCCGGGGTGCAGCCGTGGAACGAGGGGCTGCGGGAGCTCCTGCAGCGTCCCCCGCTCGCCTTTCCTGCCCCGCGCCTCTCCCTGCTCCATTGGCAGTGCCCGGGGCTGGGAGAAGCCTCCGGCCCATCACTGGCAGGCCGGGCACTCAGGCCGTGCCCGCAGCACTTTACAGAGCCTGGCGAGTCTCCCCCATCCCTTGTAAAAGCTGAGCGAGGCTGGCAAAGCGCAGGGCTCTGGGCAGGGCAGGGCTCTGGGGTGCCATTCCCGGTGCCCATTTGCTTCCACAGCCTCGCTGCCCGCCTGCCTGTGGCTTTTCAGGCCTGGGCGGGAGCGAGAGCGGCTGCGGGCGCCTGCAGCACCCTGTCCTGCATCCCTGCCTGCCAGGGTGCCAAGGGGTGCTGCCAGGGGTCATCCCCATACCCGGGGCTGGTCCCTGGGGTGGTGCCAGGGGTCATCCCCATACCCAGGCCTTGTGGAGGTGGTGTTAATGCTGAGCTTCACGTCTGTGTAATGAGAAGTTATACACGAGAATTGTGAGTGTCTCATTTACACGAGAATTGCGTCTCATTTACAGAATTGTGAGTATCTCATTTACACGAGAATTGTGTCTCATTTACATCAGAATTGTGTTTAATTTACACGAGATTTGTGTTTCATTTACACCAGAATTGTGAGTGTCTCATTTACACCAGAATTGTGTTTCATTTCCACCAGCGGCTCCCTCCGGATCCCAGGATGAGGGCGGATGCAGCTGAGTGCCCGTGATAAGGATGCTCCCACTGCTCCCACGAGGGGCTGTGCCCACTGAACCCATGGACACACATTTGGGAGCCATCGGGCCCATCCTGCCTTGGGGGTTATGCTGTGGGCACGGCTGCCTGCATGGCTGCACTTGGGCACAATTGGGGTGCAGAGAAGAGGCCCTGGAATTCTGGAGGGAGCCCAGAGGAGAGTGGGGAGCAGTGTGGCAGTGTGCCAGCTGGATGCCAGCTTATTCACCGTGATGGGAAAACAAGAAGTGCAGGGCAGCCAAGGAATGGGGAGATTTCATGGGCCGGTGGTGCCCAGCTCTGCCAGGTGTCACTGCCATGCTGCCCGTGCCACCAGCTGTGCCTGGTGGGATCCACTGGGATTTGGGTTGGGATTGGGACTGAGACAGCCCAGCCCCAGATGTGACTCCACTTCCCATTCCAGGGCTCCCAGTTCCAGGGGGTGTGGGTCTGCATCTGGCTCTGCAGTGGGCACCGAGCTTGGGCAATGTGGGACTGTGGGGCCGGCTTCAGGGATCAGGGACCCAGCTCCAGGACCACGGGATGGTTCCTGAGTGCCAGGGACACAGCACCCAGCTCCAGGACCACGGGATGGTTCCTGAGTGCCAGGGACACAGCACCCAGCTCCAGGAACA